TGGTTGTACTGGAGACCTATCAAGAACAATGCCAGAACACACCAGATGTGCTCTGCGCTGCAGAGGGTATCCTCAGTGGAAGGCACACAAGTCCCAAATGACAGAGGTAGTATGGAAGTACGAAGTGCACTCAACTGATTTTGAAGCATTCAGCTGCCATCACCTATTTATTACCACCACAGCTGAATATAGATGCCTTATCAAAACAATTCTTCTCAAGGTCAGAAAAGTTCTCATATTCTCATGCTCAGACAGGCGTCATCACCACAGATTAAAGTGAGTTTTGCTGATGGACAAGTTGAATGGGAGAGATATCACTACTGAGTCTTGGCTCACAAAAGCCTCTGAGAGAAACATATGGTCACTCAAAGTCTAGAGGAGGATAAAAAAATAGAACATGCCAGAAAACAGAATTCATGCAGGAATTCAGACAGTTTCATAATAAACTAGTATGTTCTACTATATTTTCTATAGAAATCCAGTCAAGCAGTTTAATAGCAATTTTTAAATTTTATCCAATGGCAGTTTTCTGCATGAGTTCTCACAAGTACTACAAACACACAACAAAGAACATTTTGCTCTGGTTGCTGTGCTTCATATAACTGGCAGATCCACCTGAGGATCTGACAGTACATGTTATAGAAATCCTGAGCAATGGTACACCATAAAAATTGAATGTATGATTCAAAGAGAATTTGTGGTGCTGAAGGAAGCAGGGGGTGGGATAAAGACATGAGCTCTAGAAAATGCGCCTGAAGTACTATCAGAGCCACCTGATCCCTCTTCCAGGTAGTCTGCATTTTTCTGTAATAAAACTGCTTTCTTTGGCCTAGTTGATATATTTAAAGCCCAACTTTCATTATTAATTCTTAGTCTTGATATATACTACATACAAATTTTATAATGATATGAATTTTGTGAAAATGTTTAATAATCAAGTTTAGTTCTGGTCGTTACAGAACTCTAAAAAGCACCTACATTTTATGATTTATTTTTCAGATCGACTGCATGAGCTAATCCATTCAACATACTTTTGCATTTAACATATTTTTGATACTGCAGAGACTATTTTTTTAATCTGAGCATCTCAGTAGTAGGTCAGACATCCTTAAAAAAAGGTATATTAAAACAAGTAGTAACCTTTATCAACTGACTTGTACTACTTTCCAGAAAAAAACCAGATTTACTCAATACAGGTTGCTTTCCATAAAGGTACTCTAACAAGTGTAACTATACTCCCATGCTTTAATACTTTAATTTCTTATCAGTCTTTTATTCAGAAATGAGGTCAGATTAATGATCATACAATACTGACTCTTCTGCATATTGACTCAATATTATCATACATTTAGACTCTAGGCAGTGTTGTAATATATATGCACTAACTTTGAATACTTATTCAAAATGATTATCAGTAAGAATATTTCTTAACAGAGGAATATTTCTTAACCAGCTCTATAAAGTGCTAAGATAAAAAATTCTTAATCCAAAAATCCTACTTCTTTCTAGAAAATGTTAAAAATCTTCTCTTTGCTACTAATAGATTAAGGATGTTGCAGCATCGTCATTCCGGACACATTTCTACTTCATTCCAGACACAAATCAGAAGTATCTATTTTATCATATTAATTTTATTTATTTTATATTTTTATTTACTCTGTCTTTACACAGTTACAAATCTGTTTTAGCTAATAATAGATTACATCTCCCCCATAATAGCTACCTTAGTAGTAGTACATTTGTAAATCTTGCCTGCTTACTGCAGTTCTTGGCCTTGCTACCCAAAGATTTCCTCTTAATTTCTTCAGCATCATATTTATCTTTTATATTCCATTGGAGCTTATATTTTCAGGTTATTATCTATAATCCACTTTCCACTTTGTTTATGTTGCCTTTTCTTTCTAAATATTTAGCTCTCTTTCCTACCAAAATGAGAGATATTTATAATGAGTTACCATCTAATTATGAAACAGTGTTTTTTTGTTACTTAATAAAATACTCTTACAGTCCACAATTTCTATTCATATTTCCTACTAGCCTATATCTTTCTCATAACAGCTTTGGAAAAATGAACTGCTCGGAATTAACCTATTTCAGGTGTTCTGTCAGTCCTCTCTGAAAGTCATTCTGCACAAAATTCCTGATTCCTATCCCCCACTCTAACAAAAATAAACCCAATAGTCCCTTGAAGCATATTGGATGCAGCAACCTTTGTTTACAAGCATTCCTTTCAGTATTTTTGGAAACTAATGATTTTAGCTCATTGTGTAAGCATCCCAAATTGGGGTGACCACGGCAATGCAAAATTTTATTACATTCCATTACAAATATGTGCTTAATTAGTAAGTCATCACATCCTCCACAGAGATCCACTGGTGTATATCAGATTTCTACCACAAACCTCTTTCCTAGGTTTTGTAACTTATCTTGACCCAAATAGATCCAGAATCCTGTGGTTCTGTATTATCAATAACCTTAAAAGCAAGTAACATTGCCTGCTATAAACACTCACACTCTTCTCTGAAGTTACTCTCTTCTCCCATTTATAGCTGTAACTAGCAGCAACTTAGTTAGCAATTCAGAAACAATTTAATTGTTGGATGTGAAAAAAAACTCTATATAATGTCACAAGAGATGTGGAATGGGTAGAAAAAGTAACTGCATTCAGTTTAAGAATGAGGAGAAAATCACACTTGCACTCTAAAAAATAAGTAAAGCCTATGAAGTGATCAGAATAGCAGACAAAGATTAGAGGATCATATAATTTTGTTAACCTAAGTGATATATATATAGGTGAAACTTGATCTCTGTATAGAAAAAACTATTTGAATTACTGGAACTAGAGTCAGCATCAAGGTCAGAGGACAAAAACCTGACAGCTATCCAGAAGTAAAGAAATGAGGCAGATCAGACTTCAAAAGAAGAGCTACTCTACTGCTACTTATTACAGTATGTATTATCACAATATCTCATTATAACAGAAGATACATACGAGATATTTTAACAAGATTTATGTCATATTCTGCACAATTCCACTGAATTGCTAAGGATTTTACTATTTTATGGTGGTATATTGTTAATAAAATCTGATTTTAGCACCCAACTAAACAAAGTAGTTTACTTACAGACATTATCTTTCTTTTTAAAAAAATTGTTCTGCAGAGGAACAGCAATCAGCAAAACTGTTACTTGAAATATGCATGTATATTCTTTATATTCAGGCAAATTATTATTATCATTATTATTATTATTGTTATTAGTATTAGTATTAGTATTAGTATTAGTATTAGTATTAGTATTAGTATCAGTATTATTAATATTATTTCATATTTACATTTTTCACATCTAGTTTACCACAAAAGTGCTAATGAATATTCATGGTAATTAACAACAAAGCTGTCATCTCCTTCAACAATTAATAGTTAAGGTAATAGATCCTGCTCACTACTTTTACCTCTGAGAACAGAAGATCTTTTACTTTCTCATTTTCTAATTTTTTAAAAACTTTTCATTATGGAACTATGTAAAATATTGATAGCATGATTTTTTTTAACTCCCTATCTCTGTAACTGCTACTTTCACTTTATTCAGTGAAAACATTCCAAAGCTCATAGCAGGCTGAATGGAGACTGAATTGCTTCTCTCCATCATCAGTGACACAGGAGTACCTAATTAAAAATAATAGATAATACATTAGATTAATTCAGGATTTTCCATATTTAGCCAAAAATAAGAATGCAGCTGTGAAAAGAGCACCTGTATCTTCCTCTAAGAGTAAGCATTCAGTATTAGAAGAAACTCATGAAAATTTATACTCTGTTCAAGAATAGGCAGCATATTTCTGAATGAACAGGCATAATTATCAGTTTTATACCTCTTTTTCAACAGTTACATCAAAAGGCAAACAGAAAATATTAATCACTTTAATAGTAAACTTTAAAAATAAAATATCTAGTTTTTTAAATAACAGAGACTTTTTCATGAAAATCAATCATTATTTTCACCTTGGATAAGTTAGCTTATGAATTACTTGAATTTTGGATTCTAAAGCAATATTGAACATTGTTCAGTCTTTTTTCATAAGGAAATTTATATCAACTTAGCAACAGAGCTGAACATGGGATGATTTCAAGTGCTAAAGGTCTGAACATTGCTAATGCTAAAGGTCTGAACACTGCCACGTAGACTGACTTTATATGCTTTCTTTTTCCAGTGCATCAAAAATACCATTACTCTTTACTTTGAATGCTTCGGCCTTGCTCAAACATATCTGAAAGCAGCTCAGTTCTACATAATCCAGGAGCAGTAGAGAAGTAGCTGATTCATGGGCTAATAAACAATAGCCTTCTTTGAAAGTTGGTATACATTAATAAAATCACACAATATTCTGAGTTGGAAGAAACCCGCAAAGATCCTCAAAGTCCAACTCTGGCCCTGATCAGCACCATCCCCAGGTGTCACACCATGTGCCCAAGAGCATTGTTCAAACCTTTCCTGAAGTCTATTAGGCTGATGTTGTCAACATTTCCCTGGAAGGAATATAAGGAAACAATGTTCTACAAACTGTTCTTAAAACTGCTTTCCATTTTGCAACATAGAGGCTTCCTTATATAGTATTTCTAAAACAAGAAGCACATGCATATAGAAAAGGCAGTAATTCACAGTAATCAATAGATATGAATTATTATATTAAATGTGTTGGGAATTTATTTGCTGCAAAATAATCTGATACAAAACTAAGCACTTTCTTTTAGGACCAAGTATATGTCAGCCATATATAAAAAGATGACCAGTAAAAGTTATGGAAGTATTTGAAAGTCTGGGAGAGAGGTAGTGATTCTTTCTCCTTATTCAGACCTGACACCAGAACACTGCAGCAACTACAAACACTGTTCTGGAACAGGGAGTGCATCCAAGCCTTGCTTAATCTTTTACATTTTGCTTTCAATCAAAAGTACCTTTGCTAAGGTGACCACTCAAAAGAAAAACAACATTCAAACCTTCACAAATGTCTTGAACTCTTCTACTTTGTCTCTAGTGAGCAGCAGCTCCTTCTGTATAGTTTCCAAAGCCTGTGTACTCTGCTTAGTCAAGCCATGTAGTTGTTGAGATGCAGCAGATTCAAGCTTAGTCATAGCATATTCAATCTCAATCACTTTTCTCTGCAGTTTAGTAATCTTGAGATCCTGAAAAACATCCACAGAGACACAGCAGTGCTATGATAAAAGCTGATGGGGAGGTATGTCAGATTACAAACGAATGAACAACCAACCTCCTACACCATGGGTGACATCACAGAATATTTCACTTGCAACATAGAGCATGTAATTTCATGGCAAAAAGTAATTTCATTTTCAGTCATTATGTCCATATAAATTTCAGAAGCGTGACTGAATTACATCAGAGAAACAGATTACAATTATTCTATTTCCCCCCTTTCTATACTGAAAGTTTAAGCTGATGACCTTGCAACTTTTCATTTTAAAGTAAGTATGAAAAAGTTCCATAGTGGAGCTGCCAAAACTCTAATTATACCTTTTTCTTCAAATCATCCTTGGCTTTGTGATACATCTGCTCATACTGAGACGTCTCTTTCATAGCTACATTAAACCTTTATTTCATTGAGTCAATGGAAGCCTTTTTGTCATCAGCCAGTGCCTTCACCTGAAATAATAAAAGGCCAAGAGCACTGACTATCAAGATAGAAAACTTCAAAATTTGAATAAAATCAGAGCTAAGCATACCTATATTACATAAAAATAGACAACTATATTACTGAAGTATCTTTTTCCGAAATTGCAAACTTTAATAAATCTCTACTGTTTATCCAGTAGAGATCAGTTCACACACAACCTTGTTACATAAAGTTTTGACTGGCATTAAATATAAAGAAAAGCTGAGAGCTATTTGTTCATACATATTTTAGACTCACAGTACTTGCAAAAGGGAGTAAACTACAATTTTCACTAATTTCTTTTTGTTAGTCAGAGATAAACACAGAAATTCAAACTCAGCTGAGAAAAGAATTGTCTATATGTTAATAGTCTGTAAAGTGTCTTAGATAATGAATAACTAATGCAAACACTGATTGGGGGTAAAAATGAAAAAAAACCCAATGCTCCTAAAAATTGTTCAGCTTTCCTACAGTGCTAATCACAAAGCTTTCCTGACAATATTGAGTAACAGGGAATTTCTTTGATCTTTTGCTGAAGATAATGTAAAATTTATCAAGCTGATTTTCCACATGGAATAATCAAAATAATGTATGGAATCCGATTCTTTGGAAATGAAGTGCTTCAAATACTCAAAGTAAAGCACTAAACCACATAATTTCGTGCTAAATCTTTTATCCAAAACCAGGTACTTTTCTCATGTCATACCTTAGCTCCCTTGCTTACTTAACATTCTCACTTTCTGGCTGTGGACTTCTTAATAACACCTTATCTTTAGCACAGAGGGTTTATACATTAGCTCTCTTTGGAGCTAAAAATGCTGTATGACTGCAAGCAGGAGTAGTGCTTGTGTCACTCAGCAAGCACTTGCATTCTAGGCAAACAAAAGCAAACTGGCAAGTTGTTCATTTCTATTTTGGGGTCATAAGCTGCACAACCTGATAGACAACCAAATATCATGATCTTTTCCTGGCAGTGAAGGCCAAAGTGCAGCGCATCAGTTGGATAACAGAAAGATGCTAAATCATGTACAAATTCTCTTACTTCAGTGAAATCATCCTAAAATTTTGCAGGAGAAAATAATTTGCTATAGAAGTCAAGCACTACCTACACAGTTAGAATTACTTAAGCTAAGAACTGTGAATTATTCATAACACTGTAGTAGAAAATAGATTAACATATTAAAGCATTTAACTACTATAGCCAGGAGAGATGCATGGACTTCATTAGCATATGTCATGTAAAATCACCCTTGTTTCAGGTCTACTATATTTTATGAACTTAGAATGCATAAAACTAAATCCCACTACTTACAGCATATCCTTGCAACTGTGCATTCTGAATACTTTAATATTTAATTACACCTATAACAAAGATAAATCAAATTATCCTGAATCCATTCAAGCTATCACCATATACTGATTTCATACAAATTATAGTGGAGGGAATTACACCCTTCAATTAACTATTTGTTCTTTGCTTTAAGCAATATATTGATTTAATATGTATAGTGTGTTGAAACAACTTCCGTAAATCCACCAGCTTCTGTTTTTTTGAAAACTAGGAATAGCAAGAAAGAAGTACCTTTCTCTCAAGACTTTCCAATATTTAATTTGAGGTTTTCTCATTTTCTTGATTTGCTTTTAGGCAAGACTTTAAGTCTTCTGTAAAGTGTCTTTTCATAGTAAAGTCCCTCTCCAACTCAAATATTCTGCAGAGGAAGAAGTTGGACTGCATATCACTGCAACTAAAAGGTATAAGGGCAGTAGACAATCTATCATACCTGTAGCATTACAGTACTTTCAAAAATGAAAGCTGAGGCAGTTCTTGCAATTTACTTGGTTCTCAAGTACTAAACCCAGTTTCAGTCTCTTATTAACAGATCTTTTTCTAAATATGCAATATATTTGTGATTTGATTTTTGCTTGTCTGAACTGAAATCACAATAACACTGAAACTATTATCAAAAAAAGGGAAAACAAAGCCGCTGAGCCCACAAAATTCAATTAATTAAATTCCTTTGATGTCTCAATAATTCAAACACTATTTTTTGCAATATTATTTTCTCAAGAATGTGAAATGGGGAAGACTCCTTTCCTCCAACTGAGTAATACACAGAAATAGTTGAAAAATCCCTATCCCTGTGTGTCAGATGAGATAAAATGCAAAACCTAGAAATAACATCAGCTTTTGTCAGAAACTTCTTGTAAAACCTGCAAAACTCTCTTGTACTAAAAAGTAATCTTTGTTCAATGAGAAAATTATGCCCTATACAATGCTTCCACCATTATAACACAAATTAATATTTTAAATATAAACATAAGCAATACCTAAATATGTCCAGATATCTGGATTTTTTTCCAATGAAAGTAAAATGAATGGCAGTATATTCAGGAATACAACACTCTTAATACAATGTCAATATTGTATTTTTAAAATCCCCAGGAATACAATGCATCTAAAAATTTCTTTGATCTATTTCACCTTTATACTCTTACTGCTATTTTGGTCATTATATTTTACTGCTTATAAAAGAACAATATCTATTTTATAAAGAAAGCATGCTGTCCAACAACTATTTTAAATTTGAAATCTTACGGTGGAAAAATTCACTTTGAAACAGAAAATAAACCAATCTACAATGTAATAATTTTTAGGGCTCTCAATTTTTAAAATGAACTATTTTCAGATTAAAAAACTGCATTCTTTCTTCAATTAAAAAATCAGAAGGGTTAGAGGAGTTAAAACCTTGGGCAGATAAGAAATTCAGGTACACACAGCTTTTTTAATAGTTGATATGGTAATATAATTGAAGAACAGCATCATATCAGTTACTGTAGGTAGAATAAAAGTATCAATTGCATATTTGACAATTTATGAATTTCAAAATGAATACCAGACCTGAGTCAATTCAAATAGAAACAAATACAACTGTCCTTTTGAACTTTTTTATGAATATAAGACTAGCTATTTAATCTTATTTAAGCATCTGAACCTTGACATGTCTCTTAGCCCCTAGGCAAGGAATTACGGAATTTGAAAGACTGCGTTTAACAGCGCTGAGGAATTCATTTCGACTCACACCAAGGATAAAACAGCCCGAGTTCCAACTTAAGGTATTCTTACTGCCATACAGACACTGTACCTAGCTGCATCAGTTTATAAAAACCGCAATTTAAGCATAAAACTGTTCCAGTTTCTGAAAGGCCCCTGTAACACTGTGCGAGGCTGCAGCGGAAAGGACGCGTCGCTCTCCCAAGGAGCGAGGAGCAGCCGGCGCTGCAGCAATTCCACAGCTGGCACTGGGTGGCACCAGACACAACGGAGAGAGGAGGCACCGCACTCCGCTCGCAGCGCCCGAATCCATCCTTCTTTTGCCTGGACTTGTTTTTCCAGCGACCTAATGGTGGTCGATTGCTTAGCGATCTCAGTGTCCGAATTCTATGTTGAAAAGTATTACAATATAAATAGAGTAGACCGAATGTGATCACAGACAACAGTAAATTTTGAAAAAAATTATCTGAGTAAATTTCCATTTATTTTATGAAGATTCTTAGAAATTAGCTGGTATAAAAGGAGTGTTCTTACTTCCTAGAAACACTTAAGCTGAACTACATTCCTTGGAAAATTTGATGAAAATCAGTACATTTCCATTGTTCTAATAAAGTATGGCTACTAGATGTTCTCGGGGACACTTGCAAGCACCAATCAGGAATGCATTTTCTCTTGCATAGCATGGTTAGAATAAAATGTAACAGAAGAGAAGTAGAACTGGATCTTCATTCGAACTATATCTTTGTATGTACAGTTCTACAGCACAAGTAATTACATCTATACAGAAAGAATGTCCAGTAATTCCTTTCATTTTAAGTATTAAGAAATACAAGACTATTTACAAGAGTGGTTGCTTTTTTGCCTCCTGAAATGCAAAGCACAAGACAAAGACATTTCCATTTGTCTGTACTAACACAAATTCTACATTTCACTAACAACTAGGTATGATCATGATCCTAATTTTCAGGCACATGTCATTCCAGTGAAGGACATTTATACAGTTGTTGGCCGTTCCTCATTTGTATATAATAAGAAAAAAAGTGCTTCTAGTCCTCCAGGCAATTACACATATCATCTGCCCAAGATCTAAATGCAGAAAAACTGAATCATTCTACAGGGGGAAAAAAAGAAAAAGAAATTTACCAAGTAGCCATTTTAGCAATCTGACCATATCCATTGAATGCCATTGTTGAAATGGCAGTTCAAATGCACCACATAGAGATATTTCAGAACTCCAAAAGGTGTTGCCAAAAGATACATACTTGGTGCATATGCTTAATATGTATCTGCCTATATGTATATGGATTTAGCCACCGTACTACAGCTTGCTACTCACTATGTATAAACAACAAGGAAACAGATCAGACATGCTGTAAACAATGATACTTCAGGAGAATTTTTCTGCTCGGTGCAGACTTGTAATGCCTATTAACATTAATGGGAGTATTGCACATAACTCTATGCACCTCAGGGGGAGTATATATTCTTGTGTGCATAGTTAGATGTAAAATATTGTTCTTAATAACTTGTCTAGTCTATTTACTATTATTATAATGTGAGGTATAACCAGAAAATTGTTAAAATGTGGTATGCTAGCAGAATATTCCTGAGTTTCCTGAGACCTGTTTGTGGGGCTTGAGTTCCATTAGTGTAAAGTAGAGCACCCAGTTACGTGGTTTCCACACCAGACATGAACTTGAGTACTTAGGTGGGCCTCTGCACACATTCAGAGGCAAAGACATATGCTTACGGTATTTTGCTTCCGAACTCACCACCCACACTTAACACATTTCTTCCTGTTGGCAAAGACACAAGGAGTCATTACATACAATGTAAACAAGCACCGCAAAGACAGCGCTAAGGAAAAAAAAATTAACCAGCAAGGCCAGGTACTTGGACATTTTGAGCTATAAATGAAAGCTTTTGCTGCTTAGACATTCAGATATTCAGGAGAATAACTATGTGTCTCATCTTTAAGTCAGCTAGAAAGCCTGGAACAATAATTGAAAACCCTTTGTCAAATTCTTCTGCTAAGAAATGACTTGCAGGACTTAAACTAGCTTTAAATAAAGTTAAGAATTTCAGAAACTTGATTTAAGTAGTTTTTGAGCTCTTATATCTCATCCAGTTCAGAAAACAGTGAATTTACTCTACTACATACATTTGGGGGTCACAGACTATCTCCATCCTAAATATAGTTTTGCATACATGATTTATTTTTTCATTAAAAATTTAATATATCTTTAAGAAGGAATTAAAAGTCATGCTAGTATTTTTGATATCAGATTTATATATGCTTGCTAAATATTTCCTCTGCTGCAGAAACAAAAAAACCTTTGATTTTTCAGCAATTTATTTTGCTGTTCACATTTGGCAGACAGAGTAGGCTTCTAGCATGGGTCTTACTCTTAAACTGTTTTAAAAAATTAATTCCCATTTAAAAATTTTTCCTACCTGCATAGATCAATTGAAGCTAGGTTTCTGGATAAAGGATAATGGAGATACTCATCTAAAAGGTACAACCCTAATTAACCGCAACAGAAGTAGATTATTTAATCCCAAAACTAAAAACAATACTCAAGAAGACAGTGTGTATGGTTTTAAGAACTCTTTCTCATAATTAAAGCAGATCAATTTATGTGCCTTTTCATGGCTACTCCCTGCTGGCCTCATCTCTTTATCAATGTGACCTACCTTTACTAATCCCTGAATTTAGATGTTACGCATCCAGTGTGCAATAGCCACGATCTGTAATACCATGATTACCATCAACAGCTCAGAGGTCTGAGCATTACCCACACCTCCTGTGCTAGCACAGCTAATCCAGCATTTAGAGTCAGCTACGCTGACCATGTAACAGAGCCTTTTCTCCTAGCTGATCCTTTGGCAGACTTCTTGCTACTGTCGAGTTTCTTCTAGCAGCACGAAGCTGCACCATTTTGACCTTTTCTCTTTCCTCTACTATTTAACAGAAAACAATTGGAAAAAAAAAACTTGAAGACATACTGTTGCAAATATATTTCCTCCAGAGAGAAGAGAAGAAGAATTAATATGTTTGAGCCAGGCCACCTGCTGAGAAAGCTTTCAGAACAACACAGTCAAGTCTCTGCATCATTCACATGCAACAAAATCACCCAAGACTGAAAAGTGAAATCATCAACCAGTCAGTATTTTCCTAGCAGCTAATCTACACAAATACAAAATAATTAAAAAGTCTCTCTGAAGACAAAGACAACACTGACACACAAACAACACTGCTGCCCCATTACCTCAAATTCTTTGCTCCACTTTCACATACAGCTATTGCTTTTCTCTTTCTTAAATGAAGAAAGGAATCAACTGAATTCTCATCAAACCAATTTCACAGCACCTTCCAACAAGATCTACCTAATCATTGTGTGAAAACCCAGCAAGGCACTTTGTTTGGCCTATTTGATCTGCAGAAATTGTTTTAGAACTTTTAGTTCTGTCTATGAATACATTTCTACTTACCATCAAAGGCAATCTAACACCTAAGCTGCTAATCATTGGCTATGATATACAAATGATAGGCATATGGGAGTACAGGTATGCCTGCTTGACCCAGTTATGAACTACTGCTCATACAAATTATCCTCAGCACTAGATAATCTGTTCTGTCACCTTTAGTTTGCACTGCAGCTGTTTCATCTCTAAATCAATGTTCTTTGAAGGAGCTGGTGCGGCTTCACTCTTGCCAGCAGTTTGAGACAGATGTTCTCTCAACTTTAATTTTCCTTGTAGATCTTCCTTCTCCTGTTGCCACTTGGCCATGTTGGAGGTCAAAATCTGTTTTACAAAGAGAATAAACAACCACAATTTCATCCTAGAAACATTTCTGCTTGATTATATGAGATGTTTCTCCAGTTCAGCATTCAAGAGGAATGCAGCTGTACATATCACCTGTAATTATATTGCATGGCTGTTGGTTGAATTCTCTAGTACAGGCAAAGATCAAATCTGGCAGCAAAAAAGAAATCTACTACCATTGGAAACAAGCAATTATTTTAAAATTATAGGCAAAATAATTCAATTTTGATTGAATATGTTGCAGTTTTAACTACAACAAAAAAAAAATCATCATATGAAATTGTAACAGCAGTTACTGTTGAAACAAGTTTACCTAGAGCCTTCCTGGAATTCAGCAATTATTTCTACACAGAATATGAATACCATGGTGTCTTAGATACCAGTGTGAATTCAGGGCAGTTAAAAGTCCAATCTGTTATAATGGTGACCACTGTAAGCTCACTTCAATCGCTGCGTTGACAACTTCTATAAAGCATACACCCTTCTCTTGGCTTTTGTTTTGATATTTGTAGGGCTTGTAGAGGTTAAAGCAAAGTGGACCAGCTGCACTAACTATCTCCTGGTTGGCTGGTCTTTACCTATGTGTTATTTCATCCCTTTCAATATACGCACCATAGCCAGAGAACTGCACATTCCATAACCTTGACTCTAGGGCTGAAGTACTTAAGTGGTAAAAGACAAGCTGGAGCAGGACAGGATAACAGATGTTAGTTGTTTATTCCACTGGGTAGGCCTTACCACCCTATACTGCAGCCAAAATGCTTCTCACTTAGCAACATAAATGCTAAGTCCAATTAGCAGACGAGCCTTGTTAGGGATTTAGTTCAAATAAATATCATGCAAACAAACTCAGTCTTGTTGCACTTGACCGACAAGACTTATTCAATCTTTGTACCAATATATTTCACATTACTCCTTTCAGAAGTAATGTTTTAAATAATTGCTTTAATTTAAATAATATTGAATGTTGTTCTGCAAAAAGGGGAACAGAAATAATCTTCATGCTAGTGATTAACTTTCACAAAACTGTAGTCAGTTGAAAGCCAACAATGGCCTAACAGCTCTCTGCTGCTTACAAGGGTTATTAAAATGCTATCTTATTATTCCATGTAAGACTGTAATACAGTAGCTTAACATAAGAAACAATTGTACAAAGTGGTATGGAAATACCTCAAAATGAAAAAAAACCCCTTACTTTGTGAAGAATCCTGATCAGTAGCATGAGAAGATACATGACAGCTTGAAATAACTAAATATGTGCCTGATTATATGCTGATGCCAAATGAAATACCCAACCATAAATAAAAAAAGCCCCAAACATAAAAAACCCCAAACCCCCCAAAAATCCACAAAAAAAGGTGAAAGTTAAGTATTCTATTCTCAAGCAGTTTATGATTTAATTTACAAATTAGATTTTATACAGCTTGATATCATTAGGAAAAAAATAATATACATGTGTTTATAAAAACATACACTCACATGACTATAATCTGAAGATCATATATACAGATAAAAGAGAGCCAGAGTAATTCCCATTATGAATGAGAAAAGAATGCTTGTATATTTTGCATTAGCCTAAAAAAATATCATTGGTACAAGGAAAATTCATCTGGTATTTAAAGTTAAAAATCTAACAGTATTTATTTCATGTTCACCAGGAGCACTTATTAAAGTCAGCGGTCATTTTACATATGTATCCGAGGTAAGTACTGTTCTTAGTAAAGGAGTTAAATCTTTCCATTCCTGTGTGTGTCTGCCGCCATTATTAAACAAGAGAGCAATATTGTATTTTCTACTTGACTGTTCCTTAATCTGATATTCTCATAATTACTACATTTGCAGAGTAAAAGACAAAATATGGACGATTTCAATAAGAAAAACCAGCAGTAATACAGAAGAACATAGTATAGAAAAATATGAAGATTATGTTAATTTGTCCAGTATAACCAATATTTCTACATGCAGAATTTCATGATTCAGTATCTCTATAATGAATTATTCATAAAAAGAAAAGAAAAAAAAACATAGCCAGATCAATATCTCTGTTCAAAATTAGAAATGCCCGTATCTGCCCAAGATAGCTCGTGACTCTCAGAAGTTTCTCAGGCTACTCCTGCTGACAATATGCATCAGTTCTAAAACAACATGAATTGCACTGGCTACATTCTCAAAAATTATAGCAAATACATTCAAAAAGAAAAGGTCTTCAAGGGACAGGTACTAAAGATGATGGTTAGAGAGACTACTTAAGGAAGTAGAAAAAAAGATTTTAAAATAAGAATCTACATAAATTCAGGAACAGCATAAGAAATATGGATGGACTCAAGGTAGCATATGATGTACAAGGGTCCAACTCGCAAAAGCAGACAGGCATGCAATTGCAATCAGACATTTCACATAACCTGTCTTTTAATACTGCTGTAGATATTGTAAATGTACTACAGAATTGATAATTCTACTGCATTACTCTTCTATTTTTAATCTATTGAACAGTTATGAGAAAATCCTATCTAAATCCATGTGGGATGCAAAAAACAGCCCCCCTGCCCTATGAAGAGATTTATGCCTAAAAGATATTCCTTGCATTTACTTAGGAAACAAGTTCATTACCCTAGCGTTCTTCACCACTGCCCATTCTTTAGGTCAAGTTTTTTATTATTTTTTTCTTTTTCAGACACAACAAAAGTTTTGTGCGTGCGCTACCACGGACACAAATCCTGAATGACAGAGAAAAAAGAATTTACTCCAGGGGAAGAGGTCACCAGGATGAAAGGCAGAAGAATCTTAAACATCAGCTAGACCAGATGTTGGTAAAGGGAGCCTACTGCTGTTCCTCTATGATGTAGCAGCCTTTGTCTGCTGCACCTCCTCCAGAGTGTTTTTGGCTTAACAGATGTTTATAGGTTCAATACTTTAACATCCATCTATCTTAATCTCCTTGCTCCTGGTATACCCATGACACTCTGTACTGCTGTTCACAAAGGAGTAAGTGATGAAAACTCAGTTTCTGTGCAGTCAGTATAAAACTTGCAGTGACTCAGCAAGGCTGTTCACTGTAAACTCTCTGCTCGCAGCTGTGTGGAAGGCCCAATGGGTTAACACAGGAAGTTCCTGCTACGGCCTATTGCTCCCTGGCATCACAATCACTCTATAAGGGGCTTTGAGCTCATTTTACAGAAGTCACTATTCTACTGCAACTGGCATGTATGAATATAACATTCCTGTTGGAAGGAGCTGATACCGTACTGCTACTGAAGGTACACAATCCCCCACATTTATATTTGCAAAATATACTATATAAAGATTATAAACCAGGATGTAAATCAGGCATTCTTGATGCGTTTTTAAGCAGCGACATAATCGTATCTTACTACTCATTTTGTAAACTAAAGCTAATATACTTTGATGTGCAAAATCCCATTTTCTGTGAACCTTCCCTAAAATCCTGGTAGATGCAAACACTGCTATATCTGTAAATAAACTGAAATTAACACTCACTTTTCTCCTAAGAAACCTTCCTAGAGTAGGTAACAGCTTTGCTATATGCATAGCTCCTATACAAAGTTCTGTCAGAATTTACACTGCTTCTATAAATGTTTTACATAGAGCACTCACTGTTTTTGCACAGTTTCTGCTTGATCATGGAAAATATACAAAATAAGCAGTACTCGTTGTACACATAAAACATAACAAAACTTTTCAAAGCATGCTTGCAAGCAGAAAGCTAGGTATTTATGATTTTACTCATTCTCTCAAATATTATTATAACATCATGATAAACCTATTTACAATATCCAAATTATTGTGTCAATCCCACTACTCCTGAATCAAAAATCTTCCTCTGCCTGATGGGTCATAGGAAAAAAAGGTGAAAATTAATAAAGATGATATGTAGCTATCTGGAAAGATATATACCAGACTAAAAAGCTATGGTGAATACTTAATGTGATCATATAGAGAAAAGGCAAATAACTTCAAATCCTCGATCAAAGTTCTTTTCATGCAAGTGCTGTAAGTGGTTGATTACTTAGTATTCTAGACATGAAGACAAAATATCAAACAGAAGTCTCTGGTGACTTAATATCCTATCCCTGAATTGAAACAAAGACCCCCCCACAAAAAGCAAGACAAACTTCCTGTAAAATGTAGAAACTTTTTTGTCATTTGTCCTTTTGAAATTTTGGTAAAATCTACTGAATCATTTAGTAGTATTTTTTTTTTTCAGCCAAATGCAGTTATCAGGAGCTGACTATTCTACAAAATGTCAAATAAATGAAGGTAATATAGAGGACTTTTTGCCAGTGCTTTAGCTAGTTGTTAGACTTCAGTAGCCTTTAGAGACCATTAAGTACCCTTTGGCTAATTGGCCAATGGTAGATTAATCCTCTTTTTATTCCAGCAGCACTATTTTAACACCCTTTGCACTCTGTCAGTGTAGTATCTGAATGACAAAATAATATTGTGCATGAATAATAAGCAGAAAAGTTAAATTAACATTTCATGTTTCACATGCCATACCTATGTGTCAGGGAAAAGAACCCTCTTTTAAAGCCACTGACATTCAACTTTTTAAAACAATCTCATGTTGACACCTTACTGAAGTGAATCTTCCTAATTACAGCTAATTGCCTATCAAGCAAAAAAAAAAAAATCTTTCCTTGAAGTGCAGTTGTCTAGTATAGATGAACACAGCTCCAAAGTGCATAGTAAAGACAGGCATGACACTTGAGGTGTGCTACATTATTATGAGGTCATACTAAATATGGTTTGCAGTGAACAAAGCAGCTTTTAAGGATGTTTAAGGTACTGAAAATGTCAATCTCTCATGAAGTGTTTAAATTAGTTCCCCGAAGAGAAGTACAGACATTAACCAGCAGATAAGAGGTACATTTCTCATCTCAGGTATTTTACTAAAGAAAAACATTTGGTCTATTGATAGTGGTAACACAATTGCAGTTCATCTGCTTTGTAACAGCAAT